ATAGAGAAAGCAAGGAGAACAATGGGATTTGAACAGCTTATTTCTGTATTTCTTGTTAGAGTCCCTAAATTTACTAGATTTGTTGGGGGTAGTCAGAATGATTTTTTAATCTCATTGAAATATCCTGTACACAATTTACATTTATTGATTACCACTGCTGTGGTGGTAGGTTTCTCTGAGCAAGAAAGTACTCTGAGATACTCCAGATTAGTGCTGTCCAACAGAGATACAATGCAAGCCTCACATATAATTTAAAATCTTCTAGTAGTTACATAAAAAAAGCTAAAAAGGGATACATAAATTTTAATAGTGTATTTTGTTTAATCCAATGTATCTAAAATATCATTTCAATATGTAATCAAAATGTAAAAAATGGAGATATTTTACACTTTTTTATTGCACTAAATCTTCAATATTCAATGTGTATTTTATGCGATCTAAATTTGGACTAGCCATATTTCAAAACCACATGTGGTTAGTAGCTACCATGTTAGATAGCACAGCACTGGAGGATAATAAGTGTAATAAAATTAGTGCAGGGTCTAAATATATACGTAACTATAAATAATTTTAAAACATTTCCTACTTCTAACAATGTTGGATTTTCTGAACATGAATGTTTTGTTTTTATTTATATTCTGAAGTCTCATAGGTAGTAAGCATGTTATAGGTGATGGTTATATGAAATAAACTTAATTTAAAAATGCATTAAAATATAGGCACAACTTTTATTTTTTACATGTAGGCTTATTTACATCTATCAACTGAGTTTCTCTGTCTTTTCTTAATTTTGATCTATAGCTATTTTTGCAAAAACTTCATCACCTCTTAATAGTTTAGGATTCTTAATTTTTTAAAACATATATTGAAAGAATGAATTCAAGAGCCTAGCAATTTTAGAGGCAACATTATGAACCTTTCACTATTTCACTTCTGACATGTGTGGTTTTTAATTTACATTTAGAAACACAATCACTTGCTTTTCTCTTTGATTATCTGACTGCTGTTGAGCTAAATGCAGGACATTCTTCATTGATCTCACTTTTTCTTTCCATTTAAAAATCCCTTCAAGTCAAATTCACCTTTGAAAACTTAGACTGACTTATCTCCTAAAACTTCTCTAGAATAAACCCATAACATTTGTGGATCTAACATGAAATCTTATTTTCTTTAAATATTGTAGACACATGTTCTTTAATAGTGATGAAAAGGCACTATTTCTAAGTGAGCTTTGAAATCAGGGAGTGGACTTAGAACTTCACTGGTTGTGAGACTAGGTGTGGCAGTCAGTCACTAAGAAGCACTATGAGATGGTGCCTCACTGTCCTGGTTTTCTGAGCTCCCCTTTGTCATGCACTCATTCTGGGGAAGAGATGATAGCTTTCTTTTTGTGAAAAATAACCCCTGGGTTAAGTGGCCCTTGAGTGCAATTCCTACTAGAGAGGGAAGTGAGGAGAAGTTAAAAAGTTTTAAATAGTTATTTGATAGAAAAGAGAGAATTTGGATAAATTGATAATATGATATGGAATATTAATGCAGAGATGTAACAAATGGCCATACGGAAGCAAAAAAAAAATTAAGTGATATATGAAATTAGTTCAGTTAGAGTTCCTGTGGGTGAGAGGCCTCTATCTTTTAAGTCAGAGGCAAGTAAGCTTTTTCTGTAAAGGTCCATACAGTTAATATTTTAGGCTTTGTGGACCATATGGTCTCTGTCAGAACTATTCAACTCCGCTGTTGTAGCTCAGAAAGCAATCCTAGACAACACACAGATGAAAATGGTTGTGTTCCAATAAAACTTTGTTTATAAACAGGTGGCTGTCTGGCTTTGACCCGTGTAACCCCAGCATAAGAAATAAACATTTACAAAGGGCTGCCTGGTAGCTACGCCGCTACCTTTACCTCCTCCTATAGCTGTATACTACTTTCACCTCCTGCTGCTTCTTGGGAATATCCACACAGTGGAAATGATTTTCTTCTAAATCACACTTCCTATAAGAAGGTATGTGTTTCATGGGCACATTTCCATACCCCAAAGTAACTATTTTATTAGGTAAGGTATGAGTCTTTAACAGAGACCTGAAATTATAGTAGCATAAGCAAGATAGTAACTTTCCATGTGTCGGCAGTGTATGGCTTGATATAGTGACTGCAGGTGTTACCTCACCGTCATTCCCTCTTGGCTCACCCTCACCCAGTTGTCCTTGGAACCAAAAGGAAGGGGGAAGAGTACAACCTGGAAGATGCTCCCATAGCTTCCTCTGATAGCTCATTGGTCAGCACTTAGTCAAATAGCCCCATCTATCTGCAAGAGAGGCTGAAGGCAGAGTACTTATTCTGGGCAGCTGCATGCCCAATAAATTTCTAGGCTAGGCTTCTACTGCAACAACTACTACTACTACTATTACTACTACAACTACTATCACTACTATTACTACTACCCAGCAGATGAATGTAGCTGCAACTCACGTTTCTGCTTTAATCTTATATTTATACAATAATTAAGAGCCTGAAAGAGTGCTCGCTTCGGCAGCACATATACTAAGAGCCTGAAAGAAGTTACTTCCATTTTAAAGTTCTATTTTACTATATTTCAGGTGACAAATGATATGCTGTTGTACTGAGAATAGAGGCTGTTCTAAGTCTTTAGACACAAATAACAGGAAGCCACTATACACAGTTAGGATACTGTTTGATGTGGCAAATATCTTGCATACACCACCAGTCTTCTCCTTTGAGCCTACAGGAGACAGGACTAATAAATCACAGCATTCCTTCCCCCGAACTCAGACTTGGCTTAAAACCCTCTATAGCCTTCTCTAGACAGCCTCTACCAATCAGGTAGTATTGCCATGCCATCAGCGATTTATTTGCCTTTCTTGGCTTAAAGTTTTACAATTTTTCTTTTTGTGCCTTTGACACCAGTGTTATCTAAGGATGGTAACACGGCAAACAATGAATTGAATGTTGCTTTTTGACTTTTAAGACAAATATCCTCTCAACTTTTGTCAAATTTTCATCTTATTTCCAGATCTTGTTATTTCCATGATTAAATCTCATTTTTATATAACTAACTTTAGACACAAGACCAAAGTTAGAATAATTTTATTCAATCTCTTAACTATAACTAGAGAAACTGAAACCCCCAAAAAGATGAAATAATTTACTTATGGGCACATAGCAGCATTGCAATGAGGCTCCTGAACCCCTAACTCCTATTTTAGTAGCTTTACTTTGCAAAGGTCAAATCAGAAGTGACTACAGTAATTAAATATCAGTAATAATTGTGATAGCAATTGGGTGATATTAATAATGGAACTTCAATTTCTCATTTCTGTTTCTTGCATTTATAGGCAAAATCCAACATATTTTACCTTTTCCTATGTAAAAGAAGTGGTATCCTAAGCAATCCTTACTCCAATGTTTGTTGCTTCTAGAACTTTCCAAATTTAATAAAATGGATTTGACATTGTGAAAGATAGGATTTGAGGACTGCTTTCTAGGACATTTATATTTTGGTTATGCTATAAGGAATGGTGCAGTTGTTCTTGTAATACCTTGGCATTTCCTGTTTTAATAGGATGCTTTTATGTGAGATTGAAAGCACTGACTTCTGTGGAATATTTTCCAGATGAATTTCTAATAGCAATTTGAATTCTTTTTAGCGTATTTTGACCCATGGGTCTATTAGGTTATGTTGCTTCTCATTTTATTCAGATCCCTTTGTCCATCCAAAATTGTTTGTGCTCTCTCAGGGAAGGTTGTATACTTCAGTTCCCCTTATATGCGAACAGTTTCTCAGCAGGAGTGCTACTTAAAAGATGACTGTACATGAAAACTCTCATCAATAGGCAGGTGGAGTTAGATGATCTCATTCTTTCAAGAGAGGAATAAAACAAACAAAAAACTCAGCAAAAATAACTTAAAAAAAGAGAGACCAATTATAGACCAAGCAAATCTAACTATAGTGTCTATAGCTAAGAAATTATATATTAACTAAAACCAGATTTTAAAAGATTAACAAAATCTTCCCATTACAAGTCCATTAAGTACCAAAAATTATGGCTTTCACATGACAGGGAAAATTAGTCTAGTATAATAGATCAAGGGAAATTTTGATAAGGGGAATTTCTTGATTTAACTATTAATTAAAAAGTTTGAGACACAAGGATTTTCCTCTTTTCATCTTTCAGTGTGGAGGAAGGAGCTTGAAAGCAGTAAAACTTCATGACCATAACAAAAAGGCAGAAAATTTCAGTGTGATGGACCCAAACCTTGAGCTTAGCTATATTTACCAGACCTGGAAGGTTCATTTTTTAAAAAAACAACTATTTAATGAGCATTTACTATGAGTTAGGTAACATGGCACCCAAAGTTGGAAAGTAAAAAACATAGCCTTCAGAAGCCCACCATTTCATGTGCAAGGCAAACAAAGGAGCAAATAATCTTAATATGACATAGTCAAACTGCTGTGGAAAAAGCAAGTTCTGCTTGAATGTTGACAAAGGAGACAGTGCTGGAGCTGGCTGGATGGCTCTGGCAGTTCATGAAGCAGAGGAAGTGGGACAAAGAATCAGCGGCTAAGCAATGTTTATAAAGGCATGGAAGTGTGAAAAAGCATATGGCCTTTAACTGTATAGTGTGGCAGGGGTAAAGGTGACAGAGAGTGTGGCAAGGGATTGTGTTCAATAACTTAGTAAATATGACTTGGGTGACTATTTAGCCTGGGCACTGTGCAGAGACACGTATAGGGTGCTGGGATAAATGCAACTTAGTCCAGTACTTGAGGCATTAACAAAGGAGACACAGGTCACAGATAAATTACGTTTGGGTGAAGACGTAGTAAGCATAACAACAGAAGAAATGTTGGGTTCTTTCTTTTCACAAAGAAGTGAGAATCTGCTCCCATGCCAGGCATCATCTTGTTGGCAGGGAAACCTACAAAGGTGAGAAATAGCACACACTGCCTGTTTGCAAGGACCACACAATTTAGTGATTTGGCCCGTGACCTTCCAGCACAATGTTCTGCAGGTCCACTTGGGGATGATAAGTTTCATTGACAAGCCACAATTATGGGACCTAATGACAGCCCATATCAAGGTAGTGTATTCTTTCTGACAATTCATTTTCCTACAGACTACCCCTTCAAACCACCTGAGGTTGCATTTACAACAAGAATTTATCATCCAAATATTAACAGTAATGGCATTTGTCTCGATATTGTAAGATCACAGTGGTCTCCTGCTTTAACTATTTCTAACGTTCTTTTATCCATTTGTTCACTGCTATGTGATCCAAACCCAGATGACCCCCTAGTGCCAGAGATTGCACGGATCTATAAAACAGACAGGGATAAGTACAACAGAGTATCTCGGAAATGGACTCAGAAGTATGCCATGTGATGCTACCTTAAAGTCAGAATAACCTGCATTATAGCTGGAATAAATTTTAAATTACTGGAAAAAAAGGAGTTTTTTTAGTAGCGAGGGTGACAGACAGATCAAGCAGTTACAACAACATGTATACACCAGCAACTGTGACGAATGTCATCCAGGAGGTACAGAGTCCTTTAGAACCTATAGTGCAGGATTATGTTCTAATCAGGCAGGACAGGGAAAATGATATTTATCACCCCTCTTCTTACATAATAGTTTTCCATGCTTGAATTCTTAATTTGCTTGATCAAACTTGGAGTTCATCTCAAGTAGATTTGAAAGATTACCTGGGTAACAGCTTGTCAGAGCCCTTGCATCTCCCAGAATATTTGTCTTCCACTTTCATAAATGACCAACAGCACTTGTACAGAAAAGTCTGAAGTTAGAATTTCCCTCTTTTAAAGCTCTTTTAGAATTTGAGTTCTTGGGACGCCTGGCTGGCTCAGTGGTTGAGCGTCTGCCTTCGGCTCAGGGCGTGATTCCATGGTCCCAGGATGGAGTCCCACATCGGGCTCCCTGCAGGGAGCCTGCCTCTCCCTCTGCCTCTGCCTCTACCTCTCTCTCTCTCTGTGTGTCTCTCATGAATACATAAATAAAATCTTAAAAAAAATAATTTGGGACACCTGAGTGGCTCAGCGGTTGAGCATCTGCCTTTGGCTCAGGGCGTGATCCCGCGGCTCAGGGAGCGAGTCCCACACTGGGCTTCCTGCAGGGAACCTGCTTCTCCTTCTGCCTACGTCTCTGGCTCTCTCTCTGTATCTCTCATGAATAAATAAATAAAATCTTTAAAAATAAAAAATAAAAATAAAAAAATAAAAAAAAGAATTTGAGTTCTTGTCATCTGACAATATGATTTAGAACAGATGTTTTCCCCTTTACATAAACTTATTACTTCTGTCTGAATCTTTCAGGTTTTTAAAAAACGATTAAAAAATTCATTTACGAGAGAGAGAGCACATGAGTGAGGGGTAGGGGCAAAGGGAGAGGGAGAAGCAGCCTCCTCAGGGAGCAGGGAGCCCCATGCAGGGGCTCAGGCAGCTTGATCCCAGGACCCTGGGATCATGACCTGAGCTGAAGGCAGATGCTTAACCGACTGAGCCACTCAGGCTGTGAATCTCACAGTTTTTAAATTAAAGAAATTCTAGCAGTTTCTATAAAAACTAAACATACTGTTAGTATATAATCCGGCAATCTCTCTCTTTAGCATTTCCCCGAATGAACTGGAAACTTACATCCACACAAAAACCTGCACACAAATGTTAATAACAACTTATTTATAGCTGCCAAAACTTAGAAGCAAGGTGAATGGATAAATAAGCTGTGGTACACCTAGATGTTGGGATATTATGCAGTGCTGAAAAGAAATGAGCTATATCAAACCCTGAAAAGATGTGGAGGGAGCTTAAAGGCATATTACTAAGTAAAAGAAGCTGATGGAAAGACTAATCATTATATGATTACAATTCTATGACATTCTGTGAAAGGCATAACTGTGCAGATAGTAGAAGGATCAGTGTTTGCTAGGGTTTGTAGGGAGGGAGGGAGGAATAAGCAGAGCACAAAGGATTTTTAGGGCAATGAAACTCTCCTGTATGATACTACAATAGCAGATACATGCCATTATGCATTTCCCAAACCCATAGAATATACAACACTAAGCGTGAACCAAAATTTTAACTATGGGTAGAACTTTGGGTAGAAATGATATGTTAATGTAGGTTCATTGATTGTAGTAGACATACTACTGTGGTGTGGGATGTTAACAGTGCGGCAGGCTGTGCATATGTGGGGACAAGGGGTATGTAGAAATCTCTATGCCTTCTGCTTAATTTTGCTGTGAACTTAGAAGTGCCCTAAAAAATGTCTTCTTAAAAAAAAAATACAAACCAGTGAAATTCCTTGTACATAAAAAAATATCTACTAGGATATCTATATTTTGCCTAAAGTACTATATCTTCATAGATATTTTGGCAATAACCTGGAATTGCTGTTTTGGGCAAACTTAGATGTAATCCTCAACCCAACCTTCCCTCTACTTTTATAATCATCTTTATTATGATGTAATCTTTACGTCTCTTGAGGATGCAATGCAAGCCCTAGGAGAAAGCTTTCAGTGTTTTTATAACTGAATTCATTTTCATTCTACCTATAAATCTTTTAAGAAGGGGGTCCATGAATATATAGCTCTTTCATATAATTTATGAATTATTTTCTGTGTAAGAATTATCAGTACATTTCAAATTAAGATTAATGTACTCTTAGTCCTTGTTGCCAACAGATGAAATTTTTCTTTTTAAGATTTTATTTATTCAGGAGAGACACAGAGAGAGGCAGACACAGGCAGAGGGAGAAGCAGGCTCCCTTCGGGACGCCCCATGTGGGACTCAATCCCAGAACCTTGGAATCATGTCTTGAGCCAAAGGTAGACGCTCAACCACTGAGCCACCCAGTTGCCCCCAGATGAAATATTTTTAAGTGACATATGTTTCTTGCTTTGCATCTTATCTTGGAATCTTGTGTCTTTCCCCTTTAAATATGTGGCATTTGGCTCCCAGATTACTTTTTCACCTTTATTAAGATATAGTTCACATACCATAAAATCTGCTCATTTAATTCTTTTTTTAAAAGTTTTATTTCTTTTATTTATTTATTTTTTCAAGATTTTATTTTTTTACTTATTAGACACACACACACACACACACACACAGAGAATGACAGAGGGAGAAGCAGACTCCATGCAGGGAGCCTGACACAGGACTCGATCCCGGGTCTTCAGGATCACGCACTGGGCCCAAGGTGGTGCTAAATCTCTGAGCCACCGGGGCTGCCCAAAATCTGCTTATTTAAAATATACAATTCAATAGTTCTAGTATATTCACAGAGTTGTGCAATCATCACCAAAATAAAATTTTAGAACATTTTTTCACCCTCCCCTGAAAATCTTATACAATTAAGTAGTCACTACCCTTTGTCCCATTCCCAATCAATATTGATTGTTGGCAATCAATAATATGCTCTCTGTCTCTATAGATTACCTGTTCTAGGCATTTAAATGGATGGGACCATACCTTGTGTAGTCTTTTGTGACTGGCTTCTTTCACTTAGTATGTTTTCAAGATTCATCTCTTCTGTATAGCATTGCTCTTTTTATTAAGTGATATTCCTTTGTAACAATTTGAGGAATGCAAACAGTTTTCAAAAGTGCCTGTACTATTTTGCATTTCTGCCTACAAAAAAGAAGGGTTTTAGTTTATCTGTGTTCTCATCAGCACTTGATATTGTCTGGTTTTTGTTTTTGTTTTGAAGTTATTGTTCTAATCATCCTAGCGAGTAGAAAGTGGTATCTCATTGTGGTTTTGATATGTATGTCCCTAATGACTAAAAATCTTGAACATCTTTTTATATGCTATTGGCCAATTTTATATTTTCTTTGGAGAAATGTCTATTCAAAACCTTGGCCTAGGGATCCCTGGGTGGCTCAGCGGTTTGGCGCCTGCCTTTGGCCCAGGGCGCGATCCTGGAGACCCGGGATCGAATCCCACGTCGGGCTCCCGGTGCATGGAGCCTGCTTCTCCCTTTGCCTGTGTCTCTGCCTCTCTCTCTCTCTCTATGTGTGACTATCATAAATAAATAAAATTTAAAAAAATACCATAAATCCTTGGCCTATTTAAAAATGTCATTTATAGGGGTGCCTGGGTGGCTTAGTCCTTTAAGCATCTGCCTTCAGCTCAGGTCATGATCCCAAAATCCTGGGGGGTTGGGGGGGATGGAGCCCCATGTCAGGCTCCCTGCTCAGCAGGGAGTCTGCTTCTCCCTCTCCCTTTGCCCCTTCGCCTGCTTGTGCTCTCTCTCTCAAATAAATTTTTTTAAATGTCTTTTATATTTTTATTACTGAGTTTTAAGAGTCTTTATATATTTTGTAAGGATGTTTACATATGATTTACAAATCTTTTCTCCCAATCTGCAGGTTCTATTTTCACTTTCTTTGTAGTATCACTTGTAGTACAAAGGGTTTAACTTTATGTAGTTCAATTTATCTATTTTTAAAATCTTTTCTCACTTGTGTTTTGGTGTAATATTTAAGAAACCATTGACTAACCCAATGACGTGAAGATTTACTCCTCTGTTTCTTTCTAACGGTTTTATAGTTTTAGCTCATACATTTAGATTTTTGATCCATTTTGATTTCATTTGTATATAAGTGAGATAGTCCAACTTCATTACTTTGTATGTGGGTACCCAGTTGTCTTAGTACCATTGAAAGACTATTGCTTCCCCTTTGAATTATGTTGGCAGCCTTGAAATACAATCAGCCATGATGAGTTTATTTCTGGATTCTCTGTTCTTTTGAATCCATGTACATATCTATTCTTATATTGTTCTACATTGTTTTGATTACTGTAGTTTTGTGATAAGTCTTGAAAATTGGAAGTATGAGTTTTCCGTCTTTGTTCTTCTTTTCCAGGATTGCTTGTACTGGGTACTTTGGATTTCCATATGAATTTAAGATCAACTTGACAATTTCTGCTAAAAGACAGTATTTTAAGAATTCCAGTGAATCTGAAGATCACTTTTGAGATTTCTGATATTTTAACAATAAGTCTAGTGGTCCATGAATATGGGATATCTTTCCATTTAGATCTTTTCTGATTTCTTTCAGTAATGCTTTGTAGATTTCAATGTAGAATTCTTAAATTTCTTTAGTTAAGTATATATCTAAGAATTTTTTTTTCTTTTTCACAGTGTTATATATGGGATTATTTAATTTCATTTTCAAATTGCTCATTGTTCATATATATAGAAATAATTGATTTTTTGTATACTGATCATGTATTTTGCCTCTTTGCTGTCATCATTTATACATTGCACACAAATAGTTTTATTTCTTCCTGTCTAATTTGGAAATCTATTGCTTCTCTTTTGTTGCCTGGATATAAACAGTACAACATGGAATAAAAGGGGCAAAATCAGGAAAAAAAAAATCCCTGTTATGATTCTGATTTTA